GCTCCGACGTCACAAGCCAAAAACTCCGGTTTCGCCGTCTACACGATAACACTGCAACCAGAGTTTTTGAAAATCTTCACCCTGGCAGGCGTTTTCAAAAATGTTCGGTTTCAGTGAACTGGTGCTGCGTGTGGACGAACGGCCTAACCGCGTAGAAAAAGCTGCGGTTTTAAAAATAACTGGGTTCGTGTGGACAGGGCCTTAATTTAGTCTATTAAAGTAATGATAGTTTGCCACTTCAAACAAATTATGAGATTCTAATTTTTAAAGTAAAATAAGGCAGAGTAGCTCCACCTAGTGGTGAGACTTGGGCACAAAAATGGGTGCAAAATTAAATATAGTGCACATTTAAAGATTTATCTTCATTTAAATACATATATGTCCCCTAATCTTCAGATGTAATACAGGGATTACATTCAAGAACAACTTTGAAGAGACTGTGACAGTACCGGGATCCAAGCATGTGAACTTGCAACACTCTTTAGGGTCCTTGCGGAAATGCTGGCAGCCCTGCGGACGCTCACACAGGGCGGCCACACACATCTCCGGCTCGCCGTCGTGGCACGTGCAGCTCAGACACGGGTCGTCCCCTTTAGGCGTGAAATAATAGCCCTCGTTCACCACGTTGTCTCTAATGTCCACACACGTTTGTCCTGGTGAAGAAACCGGTCAGATTGATATCAGTACATTAGTACTACCATGAATAAAACTCCAGAATGCTATCAAACAGGGTTCTTCTGTTAATACATCGCTGGACGTACTTCTCTTGCAGAGGAAGGGGAATTTTTTATAGCAGTTTTCGGCGTGCCAGCTGTGCAAGCCCCGCTCGTTCATGCTCTTGATCTGAAAGCGCTGCAGCTGGGCGCAGAACACGTTATCCTGGGTTGGGTTCGCCTTGCCCAAATTAGCCAGACCCTCCGGAGGCAAAAACACCTGCATGGACCCTGTGAGGAACAGACAGACGGATGAGGGAACAGTTTCAAACGCCCACAGATGTGAAAAAGAAATATAAAAATTGAAATGCATTTTCTTCAGAAGTTAATGAAACAGTTTATCCAAAAAAACTAATTTATCTGTCATTATTTACTCACCCTCATACGTCATTTGAAATCAGTGTTGTTATTTTGAACTGAAACTAGAGCTAAAACTATTAAAGATCATGTGTGTTCATTTTTACCTTAAACTTAATTTTTTTTTTTTTTAAATGTTGCCTTGGCAACTTTGTTGAAAATAAGTTACATTTGAAGTATTACAAGTACTAAAACAGAAATAATTTTTCAAAGCACAGTTATAATGAAAAAAAAAATGCAATTAAAAATAAATTAAAAAATGACAAAATTACTAAACCATAAACTAAAATGATAACTGAAAAATACAAAATTAAAAGGCAACTTACCTGAACTAAAATAAAATACAAATACTAGATGATAAAAAAGTTAAGTAGAAAGTTTTGTAAAAAATCTGAAATGTTGCTAACAGCAGTAAAATAAGTAAACTGAAGTAATACAATTATTAAAACTGAAATAAAAATAAAAATGAAAGTATATTAAAAGTACATAATATATTATTAAATATTAAATATATATATTTTTTTATTATTTTCAAATGTTAAAGGGGATAGCTGGCCAATCATAGCACACCTCGCTTTTTCAGACCGATGAGTTTTGTAAAAATCGACGCGTTTCAGAAAGGCGGGGCATAGAGGAGAAACAATAATGTACAGAATGTGGAAAATAATATGTTTTTTAAACTTTAAACCGCATAAACACATTTCATTACACCAAATACACAAAATAATGTTCTTTTTAGCAGCATCATATGACCCCTTTAATAAATACAAAACTGTTAATAAACTATAAAATATAAAGAAAATATAATAGAGAATTAAGTTTAAAATGAATTATTCACTGAAATCATGAGTGTTCATTACAGAAATAGTGAGGTTTGATCTTTTCAATGAATCAATTGATCCATTTCACAAAGCCAGTCTGAATGATTTTGTTCACTAATTAAAGTTCAACTCACTGATTCAATGATCCAGTAACAATTAACAGCCTACTGGACCATTTACTGTGAGTACCAACTTAAATTTGACTCTGTTCTTTACACTAAGTTATGGTAAGACTTCATAAGACTTGAAATATAGTAATAAAGTTAATAGGACTACTTTAACGGTATTTTATTTTGGCAAAGGTGCCGTTTAACAGCTGGGGTGCTCATTCATTACAATGAAAACAGACATTCTTCAAAATTTTTTTTTTTTTACTTTACTGTATTCCTTAAAATAATTTGAGATTAATACCAACCTTTATACGCCACTTCCCAGCGGCCCTCGAGCGAATGATTCTGGTTGGTAATCACATACTGATATCCCACCCAGAACCTGCAATGACACAGCGTTGAGAACTCAAAAGCGTGAAACCTCACCTCTTCCTCAGGAAACAGATTCACACACTCACTTGCACTGGTCCTTTCGCTCGCACACGTTCTCGTCGAAGTCCACCTCGATCTTGAGGATGAACTGCAGCTCTTCATTGGTGCCGAACGTCGCGAGGGAGCCGTTGACCTTCTGACAGGTTTCCACCGCCTGCCAGTAGTTCTCGCTCCTCAGGTAGACTTTATAACAGCTGGCTGTCTTTTCATAGTGGTGCCAGCCGCTCGGACACTTCCCTGTGTTTAGAAATAGAAATATAATTATTTAAATGTTATTTTTAAAATTCATTTTAAAATATCATAATTGAACCATAATGGGCATTTTAACACTATTTATTTCTTCCATCACCCTACTGTTGTGTTCAATTATATTCATTCCATATAAATATAGTATATAATACAAATATAGATATATAGTCTACAATTTAGAAGTTTGGGGTAGAGTTTCTCATGCTCACCATGCCTGCATTAATTATATATATATATATATATATACAGTAATATTGTGAAAAATAAATATTTTCTATTTTAATATATTTAAAAATGTAATTTATTCCCGTGAAATTTTTTTTAAATTTCAGCATCATTACTCCATTACATCATTAAGTCTTCAGTGTCACATGATCCTTCAGAAATCATTCTAATATGCTGGTTTAATGCTCAAGAAACATTTCTTATTATTATCAATGTTTTGTTTTAACTGCCTAATGTTGCCTATGACTACAGGGTAGGTCATCGGATATTTTCGCCCTCATCCTCACTTTATCCACACTGCCCAATGTAAAATCTGTGCCCTGAACCAAAAGCAGTTGAGTATCACTGGTGTAGGCTGTGTAAGTTAAACAACATGCTTTCGAGGAAATCATGACGCTAAAACCCTAATCCACAGCAAACGGAAGGGAACGGAGTGGCAGCAGGTCTGCTAACATGAAACAGAGTTTCTAAGAATCTTATTAAACCTCTTCCTCATTTCCTGAGAGAAGGAGCACTAAATCCGACAACCAAACAAGAATTAAAGTTAAGACTGCAGATCCGTCAAGAAATGCGCCAACACCTCCTGAGAACATGGGCTCGATTACAGCGATGTCAGAAAAGGGCAGAGAGCACGTAACCCTGCAGTGTTCTCTGTCTAATAATGATTACAGCTTCAGTCAACATGGCAGGGGTTGGACAAGAGTTCAGCGGACACTAGTTCCAGGTAATATAGATATTAAAAATTATATATTTTTTTAGACTTTTGATGACATCTAATCTTGATAAATGAGTACGTGCTCTGAAATTGCTTAAAATGTTTTTTTTTTAAACAAACAGCCATTGAACAAATGCTCCACAACATGTAATGCAAGAATTAAAATAGTTCAAAAACAATAACAAGAACTATCAAAAAGCAAAAACGAATATAAATGAAAAAAGCACATAAAATTACTCAAATGAAAACTAAAGATAAAATGAAAAAATAAATACATAAAAGCGAATTCAAAATATTAATAAATACTACAATAAAAAAACTTCTTAGTTCTCATTTTATAATAATAATGAGATGGACTGTATGCGTTTTAATATTTTAATATAATAATAGAGTAAAAATGTTACTACTACTAGTACAGGTACTACTAATAATTATTATAGTTTTAAAATATTTTCACAACAAAACAGAAACAACTAAATTATTATTAATAATTTATTAATTATTATTATTGTTTCAATATTATTTTATTTATACTGTATATTTACACTTTGAACTGTTTTAAAAATATGAATCAAAGTAAGTTCATTTTTGCTACTGAACTGAAGTTTACTTCAGAGACACTATTAAAACATTAAAAAAATGTTTATAACAGTGTAAAATGGCTTTAGTTCAAATTAATGACTTTATTCAACTTATCGCACATTTAACGTATTTTCAACACATCAGCCCTACTGGACGATGCAGAAGAAATATGAAATGGCACCTTGCCAAAATGTATAGCATTTTATCTCCTGCTACTGAAAGTGTCACTGAAACGTTTACGAGACTGCGAAGCCCATCATAAATCAGAGGAAGCGATATGAACACCAATCACCTGATAAAAACCGGCAAGATTAAAATCAATAAACAAACACTCAAATAACCCCAAAATGTCCCAGTCTATGGGTTTACATAGGCTACAACTGCTTTCTGATTATCTGGCAACACCACCAATACAAAGCACTAATCTTCAGCGTTTATGGGTTATTTTGTCCTGCTCGGGGTGTGACTCTGATCAGCAGTGCTTGAAGGAGCTACGAGACACAGATCACATGCTCAGCAAATCCGCTCTGTAATTCCTGTTATCCCATCCAAGAATCAGCCTCTGAGCACCGTCTCTCACTCCGGGGTTAAGACACAGAAACCACAGCACACGGGCAAAACAAACCAAAACCCAGGGTGACTGCCAAGCACTGGCAAAATGACAGGACAAAACCCAATAAGTCGGAAGTGAAAGCGTTCCTCGTGCGGTCATAAGCATGAGTGTGTTTTTACAGTGCATTGCACAAGAATGTATGCGAGTGTGTGTGAACTTACTAGTAGGGTTGGGTACCGAACTCGGTACTTTTAAGGGTACCGACCGAATTGCGTCGGTTCTACCGAGTACCAATTCACGTTAAATCAATCAGTGCCAAATTTTGGTACCCGAGAAGAACGCATCTGGGCGCATATGCTAGAGAGAGAAAGAGAAAACCTGTGACGTGAGGTCACCCCTGCAACTCGTTCAAACAACACACAGGGCAAGCCGAAATGTTGTGAAGTGTGGTTACATTTCTAGGGCCATATGGTTTCTGCGAAAACGCGGACGGAATCGTGGAGTCCATTCATAAAAACGTAATTTACTCTATAGCGCGGAATGCCACGGAATTCGTAAATTTTGGACAAATGCATCAAAAGTAGCCACTGCCACTTAATTCGAATCGCGATATGAACTAGTGTCTGTGAATATTAAAATGCAAAAAGACGGTTTATATATGAATCCTGCATGTTCCGCTTGCCTCTGTATTTATGAATGGCGGAAATGTGGTTTTGTTTACTACACAAATACTGAAGCACACGTGACGCTCGCGGTGATTTTCGGCCTCTGCTTCTCACTATTCACTATTATGTTTCATTTGAGAAAACTAGCATCATCATACTGTATACACACAGTAGCTTCATGGCAACCTGTCAAAATAAAAGTACGCTTTAACATGTAACAGAAATATATTACTCTTGTATTACTTTTGTACAGTATAATGTACAAAAAAGTGTGTAGGGCCCTATTGTTCAAAATGTTGAAATTGAGACTTTTGGACTTATTTTTTCCACTGAAATAAATGTTTTTGTAATTACACAGAGAGTAAAGTACCGGAAAAAGGTACCGTTGGGTACCGGCACCGAAATTCAGGTACCATACCGGTTAAAATGTGAACGGTACCCAACCCTACTTACTAGGGCAATCTATCTCATCGCTTTTGTCCTCACAGGCCGTCCATCCATCACACTGCCAGGACAGAGGGATGCACTGCATTTTTCCGCTCCGGCAGGCAAACTGGCCAGGATTGCAGCGCAGGTCTGAAACACAGACAATACACTGAGCCAAACTAATCTGGAAAGAGAAAACTGCAGCAGACTCCATTATGTGTGATTACAAACAATCATGATTTATGATGCAACAGGAAAAGTCTCCAAATTTAGATGAAGAGCTGTTCGACGTCATCAGGGACACCAGTGTCAATGTCAGGCTTAGCCAAATAAGACTCAAACAGGGTCAACGTGTCAAACCGAACCAGCAGGAAACGCTCAAGATAATTTGTAAGAATTCAAAGCATCGCAGCTTACCTGACAACAGTCTGGCCAGAGCGAGCCGTGGACCTGCGGGGGAGAGAGAGGGAGATTTAGTGATTCCAGCTATATAACATTACCTAATCTCTTAAAGGCTCAAGAGACAGTCTGTCTCCTGGTTAGCAGGGTATCAATAACAATAGATAGTACTGACACATCCCCAAATTGCAAACAAAAGTCAATTCAAGTGACCAGAAGGCTCTTTATTTTGCATTTAGAAAGCATTTATATTTTTTCAAATGCGAGCCCGGCAAATGTAAAATTATATTTTACTATTTTAGGATAAATAAGATGTAGACAAAACACAAATTCTTAGTAACGCTGAGGGAAAAAATGTATAATAATAAATAAATCATAAAAAATTATAAATATACTATGCTATATTACGTTATATTCTTTTAAATGCGTATAAAATAAATCACATAGGAAAAACTTGAGAACTTAAGATTAAAATTGGCATTAAACCACAAAAAGTCAATTTAATAACTATATATAATTTATTTGATTTATATACATTACATTAATTATAAAACAAATACTAATAATTACATAATTTATCACATTTATATTATTCCTTATATTAAATAAACGTATATTTACTACTACTACTACTATTAATAATACTTTTATATTTAGATTTATTATAATGTAATAAATTATATAATTTATTACATAATTACACAATTTATTATATTACATGTACATTATCATTATTACTGATATAAATGTATTTTTACATTTAATTTAAATTTAATTAATTACCTTTGCCCATATGTGTGTGTGTGTGGTCCAGATTTTCCCTATGCTGGATAGTAAAAACTTTTTTTTGACATTTTTTACATTGTGGAGACAAAATTTATGTCCTCATGAGCAAAACAGTTTCTAAATCATGCTGTTGTTGTTTTTTTAATGTAAAAATGTAAAAACGCAGAATGTTTTATAGTTTGTACAATATGAAAATCATTATGTCTATGGACAGTCGTCACAAAATGCAAAAACCCAATATGTGTGTGCATCATTTTATACATACTTAAAAGCCATCTAATATTATAAATAAAATAATTTCTGTTATCTGATGTTAGCAAACACCCAATTAGCTTGATCCTCCAATCCACTAAACAATCTCTTGAGACAACGAAGCAACCTACAGACAAACATTTTTAAAAAGAGCTTCTCTTCTTGGGACGTCCAGACATTCAGACCTTCAATCAATCACATGTCTAACCCTTGAGTCTAAAGTCATCCTAAAACAAACACAGCAACACTGAGATGCCTTCAGAAGACCAGTGTGTTCTCTACTATGGATGCAATACTAGAACCAGATCTGCACCACATTCACCGCTGCAGACAGTAAGACCATTGTGAACAGGTGAACACTTCTCCATGTGCCCATAAGTTCCAGTGATCACCAAAATAGTACCAATAACCCATTTGGGTAGTTGACAAATAGATAAAAACTAAGATTTTAAGTTAAAATGTAGGTATAAAGGAAAATAATCGTCGACTGTCCTACTTTGAGTAGTTTGAACGTGTTTTGCACATGCACCACTTCAAGTTTGTTATGCATTAAAAAGTCTTCTGGGTCAGAAGTAAAGATATGCAAAAGTCTCCTTTAATGTTAACATCACAGTGATCATGTGTAATATTATGCACTTTTAACAAGAGCACACACTGAGATTAAACACCAGCTGTGGGTTTATTTGATGAGATTCAACATGGAGACAGGCCAACCCATCCTGCCGTCAAAACAAGTGCACATAACCTGGGCTTCGCTTCCCCATGGAAATTAAACACAGAAAAGCACATCACAGGCCATTAACCTAAATACTGTCCTATTTATTTGATCCACTGGGTTTCCATGCATCACCTTGCAAACCTCCCGTCTAACAGAGGAATATCAGAACAGACACCAGCAGAACGCTGCTGCTCTGATGTTTCCCTGTCCTGAGCGTTCTGCTTGATCGGTCTGCTCCTGTATTGAACTGTGGCTTACCAGAAACATTAGATTGACTGCAAATGGTTGGCATGTATGGCAAGTTGTTTAAACATTTATTCCTTACAACTTACAAGCATCTATTTTAATGCAATTGTATTTTTCATTACTAGAAATCCAGAGGTGACCAGTAACTTTAGATTTTCATCAACTAGAATCGTTCAGTTCCACTAGCAACCATTCATTACATACTAGTATTTTTTTCATTGCTACTAGTCACTATCCCAACAGTCACAAGTAACATTTACAATGCTACTAGTAACGACTTGCAAATGTTGTCATTTATTGTATGGGAGTCTGTGAGCATACCAACTATTCACTTCCAACTAGTCTTCTAATAGTTACTATAATTATACTTATTTCAGTTTTAATATAGTGCTTATTTAGGGGGTGTTTACACAACACCTTTTTCAACTAAAACAGATTTTTTTATGTGTCTTGGCTGTTCATTTACATGACAACGGCGTTTTGTGGTCCTGAAAATGCAAACTTTTGAAAACAGGTTTCTGATATTGTTACTGTCTCCATGTAAACTACAAAAATGCAAATTTGTGAAAAAGTGACATCATGCTCATACATTTTACAGGTTTACATATCCGTGCAGGCGTATAGTGTTTCTTTACAACTAGTGGCCTGGCATGCATAATACAGCATTTTTAGTAGTTTTTTTCTGGATCTGTGTTTTGACTATTTTTCCAAAGGTATTTAAAAAAAAAGTTTTGTTACGGAGTATGTAGTACATGTAGTTAAAGAGAGTAGGGAGACTGATCATTAGCAGTTCTTTATGGAAGTGGGCGATTATTTTAGCACCATTTGTTTCTCTGATTGGTGCTGATTTCTTTGCAGAATCATGAATCATGTAGTTTTTCCACAAGGAATTCCTCCGTTAAACTTGATTCTTTTAAAACAAGTTGAAATAATTTGGGCTGATGGCTTCAGCAAAAGCATATTCCATCACTAAACAACGTCGTAGCTCACAGTATGTTTGCTAAGGTTTTTAAATTATCGCTAAAAATCAGTTTCCCTATTGAGAAAATGACTGGGATTTTTACTTCAGTTGCGCACCACTGGAATAGATATCCATAAAATACTAGGACTAGTAAAACTGGAAAAGGTATCAGCAATAACTTGTGCACTAATTGGAATTAAATAATTGAGTTCACCAGAGATGGCAAAATTTGCAATTTGTTACAAGTAACAACGGAATAGATAGTTGGTATAGTGACTAGAAGTAAGGGAATACGTAAATAAGTAATGAATAACAAACATATACCATGTAGTTTTAAGGAATAAATGTTAAGCCAGCTTGCCACATGGTATGTAATACAAAAGGCTTAAAGCTAGTAACATAAATAGATACTGTTGTTTTCAGGATTTAATATTAAAACAGCTTGCCATATGGAATGCAATAAAAGCGTAAAGCTTAAGAAATATTGCAAGGCAATAACAAATTGATAATATAGCGCTAGTTAAAGGCCCTAATGGCCTGCGAAAGAGCCTCTGCAGATCAGCGCCTGTACATCCCCCTCATGACCGAATACAAGCAGAGCTGCAAGCCTTTACCAGCCCAGACTGCAGCAAATGCATTGATTAAAGCAACACCTTTACCTGTCCGTGACGGATCTGTTATTGTCAGAATGAAGAGGAGAAGCACAAAACCACCGCTGTCAGCCTTCGGCAACATTTATCCTCCATTCATAGTATCTTACACCGGAGAAAATGTGCGAGAGAAAATGCAGTTAAAGCAGCAGCCGCCGATGTGGAGAAATAAATCACAACGAACAGCAGATTCCGCGTGCTGTGTATATTCCGTCGATCAGAAATAAGCTTCGGTACTCGGATGTGTTGATTTCAGTTGGCTAGGGTCGGGATATAGTGTCATATTCCATGGCTGTTTCCTCTGGCTTCCAACGGGCTTAGGACGGATATAAAACAAGATGGCTCCGCCACCGTCCCATCAAAACAATCCCAACCATGTTCCCCAGCCCACAGACGGGAGGAGGCGCTTAATCAACTCCTCATAATAATACATGCATGACATTGCCTTCATGTCTCACTGTTCACACGGATGTTTCATGGAATATTACACTCTGGCAAGCAAGTGTTTTAAGCGCATTTGTTTTATTGCAGCCAGTCACATGACTAGGATAAGAAATATAGTTAGCACTATAGGGCCTAAAAACCCTGTACATTCATTCATATAGGCTACTGTTCAAAAGTTTGCGACCAGTACATTTAAAAAAAAAAGAATGAATACTTTTATTTAACATGAAATTGCTCAAAAGTGAAACTAAATACATTTATAATGTTCCCTTTCTTTTCTACTTCAAAATATGCTGTTCTTTTGAACTTTCTATTCATAAAAAAAAAAAAAACTGAAAAAACAATATCGCTGTTTTCAAAAAAAAAAAAAAAAATATTCAGCAGCGCATCTGTTTTCAACATTGATAACAAATGTTTCATGAACACCAAATCAGCACATTACTATCTTTGTTGTATTTTTGATCAAATAAATGCAGCCTTGGTGAACATAAGAGACTTTCAAAATACTTACAAAAAAAATAAAAAATCTTACCAACCCCAAAAAAGATACAAATGAAATGAACAATTTAGCCACTAGACTTTTCAAAGTTGTAAATAAAACACAGATTACTGAAATGCATTTTTACGAGAAAATACTACTCAAGTTTTTCAAAATTTCATGTTTAATTCAATGTGTTCCTTGCCGTTTCTTTGTAATTATATGTAAATATTACTTACAATTTCTAAGTGAAAACTGTTTCAAAGTAATTCCTACACCTTTTTCAGTGTAACATATTGCAACAAAAAAGCTATTCAATTCATTTAACACAAACTGAGGAAAGCTTGTTGTCACACTATATGTGGTAAATTGTCACAGTGGAAACCTGCATTAAATTGTCAATTAACTTTAGTCTTTACAACTTTACAGATCTTCTTTATGCACCAAGAGCTTGTAACACTCCAAAGAGAAAGGAAAAAATGAAATCGCATCATATGACCCCTTTAAGTTTACATGGCTGTTTTCTCTGTCCCCCGCTGAAACGCTTTATACTGAAACACTTATTTATAGTAAAAAATACAGTGTCCGTGTCCAAAGTCTGAAATAGTGGTTGACCGATATTTTTACAAAGAAAAAAGAAAAAGCAAGTAATTACTGAAGCCATTAGTGCAAATAGTAATCACGCGCACCTGAGGTGACGATCTCAACACTGTCAAAATAAAAGTCCCATGCATTGTCAAAATAAAACACAAAAACGTAATGGCCAATGCCGAAAATTAAAAACTCCCAAATGACAACCAAAATAATTGGCTTGCCAATATATCAGTCAACCACCAGTCTGAAACCACACTGAAAATCTGGGATCTAATTTAAATGTTCAAATAAAGTTTTGGAATTCTGAAAATAAAATATAGAAAATTAAGGTTTGAAATGATACAAAATATGTAAGACATTAACATATTAATATATTTTGTGGTTGATCATCAATAAATGGAGGATGACCCAAATAATAAGACATATGAAAAGTCATGTTAATTTTACAATTCAACTTTTCACTTAAATTGTTATCCTGATAATAAAATTTAAATACGTACATTTTCCATTTTCTCTAGTCTAATCAGCATTTTTAATTACAAATAATAAAAAATGTTGTTTAACCTAGACAAAAAAAGTGTGAAATACAAACATATTTTACAATTTCAGACATCTTTTCTTTACCTTGCGAGGTTTTCAGTGACTTTGCGCAGCGCCTCCTATTTCTAAGTGAAAACTGTTTCAAAGTAATTCCTACACCTTTTTCAGTGTAACATATTGCAACAAAAAAGCTATTCAATTCATTTAACACAAACTGAGGAAAGCTTGTTGTCACACTATATGTGGTAAATTGTCACAGTGGAAACCTGCATTAAATTGTCAATTATGTTTTTTTTTTTTATTTAAACAGTAAAACAAATATGAAACACTTATGTGTTGTTTTGGCCAACATGGATTATCTACAATTGCATCATATACAACATGTGACTGAAAAACAGATATTACAAAAACAATGTTCAAACTTATTTTCAAGAAAAGAATTTAGAGAGTCTGTCCCAGCATTATATGTGTTAGTCCAGTCTTAATGACAAAAAAGACATTAATTCCTTTCTTCTGTCAAACCCTGCAATCATAGATTGTGTTAGTGTAAGTTCACTAAAAGAGTGTTTGCACATATGCAACCTAAAGATGGATTCAACAAGTGAATCATGTAAAACATGGAGGGTGAAATAATTCACACAAATCTGTAGAACCCTTTTTATTGTGCCCCTGAGATCTTGAAAGATGTCTTCAACATCATAAAAGATCCTAAACCTTCAGGAGGACTGAATCAGTTTTGTTCAAAACAAATCAAGACTAGGAAAGAACTGAATGGACCAAGTGATTCACCTGATTGAATCAGTTGATGTCAATGATGCTGAAAAACTGAATATATATACTAGCTACAAAATCCAATCAAATCTTTACAAACTGTAGGTGTAAGTTGCAGACTTTTTTTCCTTATAGAATGAAGTCCAAGAAAAAGATGATTCATTCAGTTTCACAGTTTTAAAAAAGGAAAAAAAAAAAAATGCAATTAAAAAAAACAACAATAAATATTTGACCCTGCCCATGTTAGAGTTTTTGTTCGGTCTTTAGATTCCGAAGTAATCCGCGGCTTTCCTCCTCTTGGGCAGCTGGAGGAGGTTGTCTGTGATGGAGGCCGGGTCCTGTGTGGCTGGTGTTCTGGTTTTTCCGGGAGTTGGTGTGATGGAGGAAGTGGCTGGACCTCCGAGAGGAGTCTTAGAGCCCATGCCCCTGTGCGCAGGTGACGGGGTGTAGCTCGCCCTCAGGGCTTTATCTGTGTATTTGCTGGAGGATCTGTTTACTAGACGCTGAAGGGCAGGAGACAGCGCTGCGGGACTCAGTCCCTTCGGAGTGAGGCTGCAATACATATAAAGAATAATTTAGTACACATCATAAATGCAGTTTTGAATATCGCTTTGAAAATAAAGGGGGATCTTTTGGCCATAGTTTCTCTTTTTTAAAGGGGTCATATGATGCTGCTAAAAAGAACATTATTTTGCATTTTTAATTACAAATAATAAAAAATGTTGTTTAACCTAGACAAAAAAAGTGTGAAATACAAACATATTTTACAATTTCAGACATCTTTTCTTTACCTTGCGAGGTTTTCAGTGACTTTGCGCAGCGCCTCCTGTTTCTTAGCTCTGTTTTTTGCCGCAGCCTCATTGGCCATTTTCAGTCCCAACCGCTCTCTTCTCCCAGGCTCTGGAATCTGGAAAACATCCATAAAAACAACCATTCGTTATTTTTATTCAAATATTGGACAATAAATGTAACAGTGCACACTGCCATCTAACACACATTGATTTTTTTCTGATTATATAAAATTGGGTATCAATAAAACTAAAATATTCTTTTTATATATGCAAGTGAAAAAAACAGTGACATTCTAATCAGAAATGAACTGGACCTTGAACGATGGACCGTGACTTCTCTCCACAAGTGGCGAATCCGAGCCATCCAGGCGAAACGGAGTGCTTTCAATCTCACCCCACGTCATCAGAGGAGACTCTGCAACACCTTCAAAACGAACAAGCCATTCAGGCAAACATGACACAAGTACTTTTATAAGTTTTCAAAAACTTTATGCTCTTCTGTTTCTAAAAAAAAAAACATTCTGATGTTAAAGCCTTTGAATAAATACTTATGTTTGCATATAAATTCCCATCCAATATATGCAATAAGCATTGTGCTTTGGTACTTATAATATGAAACAAAGTCTCAGATTTCAAATTATGTCCATTGTATTGCAGTGTTTAAACAATAAATGCAGTTTTGGTGCTGTTTGATGTGAAGTGACAGATCGCTGTAGCGCCTCAGTTCAACAGACGCGGCAGCGCGAGGCGCACGTGAACTGATGTCCTCCACATTAATACCAGTTTCAGCACAAAATAAACATGGCTAAACATCCGAAAATTAGTGTTTCAGCCGTGCAAAGACGTCAATATAACAGCTTGTAAACAATGTCACGTAACGTCACATTTACCCTCGAGAAAAACATATTTGGTGACCATAAAAAATGACCATGAAAAATAAACTGTAGAGAGGGGCATTTTGCTAAATATATGCACCATATAACATTTTCATTATAATTTGTACTGTTCTTCAATGTTTTAATTTATGTTTGAATAAATCCATCAAATTTTTGACAGCCACATTTAAA